ATGGGGGAAGGGGAGAGATTGGACAAGGGGCAGAAAGAATAACTATGATTTGTAACAACATATATGCTAGTAATATTGATTTAATCAACATATCTCAATGTTCACCCCCCAAAAATGTATAATCGATTTTGATTCAATAAATTAAATAAATAAATAAGGAAAACCTGAAATCAGTCCAACTGTCAATCTGTAAGCAACAATTTGACCTCAACACAAGTAAAACCTGCTATTGAATAACATGGGAAAATCTCTGCAAAATTCTCTAGGAAAGTATAATATGGAGATTAAAGGACAAAGTATAGTTTGCAGAATTTTCCCTATTTTATGAAATATTCTTCTCTGCTTCCCAAGTGAAGAATAACCTCTACTCTCCCTACCTTCTGTTTTTTTTTTTTTTTTTTTTTTTTTTTCCTGGTTTCCCCATTGATCGCTGCCAGATGTAAGACTCTCTTCAGTTAATAACGTAGCATCCCTTCAAAACAAATTTTCTTTGTTCTCTGGGTCTTTCTGGAGTATGGAAATATCCTTCTGGTACTTCTTTAGTTGCATAGTTCCAAAACAGCACAACAAAACCACCCCCTAACTTGGCATTCCTAAACAGAGAGATGCTGATCGGAAAGTTTGCTTCTAAATCCATCCTGACCGGCTGGCTACAACCAGTCTCTCCTATTTTACCGCTGTATCTCTCTCATACATACAACACATACATACAAACATACATACTCACATCCTTGAGCCAACAAGAAATTGTTTTATAGGTTAAATCTATTATACCTCTAAAACTTACTCTAAGTTTTTTTTTGGTTTTTTTTTAAAAGATGACCAGTAAGGGGATCTTAACCCTTGACTTGGTGTTGTCAGCACCACGCTCACCCAGTGAGCCAACCGGCCATCCCTATATGGGATCCGAACCCACAGCCCTGGTACTATCAGCACCGCACTCTCCCAAGTGAGCCACGGGCCGGCCCTTACTCTAAGTTTTTAAAGTTCAAATATGAAGTATATTTTAATATTTCAACATATTTTTCAACTGAATTTCCCACATCATTTTATTTTTACCACTTATTTTAAACTTCAATAACTACACCTGGGGCCGGCCCGTGGCTCACTCGGGAGAGTGCGGTGCTGATAACACCAAGGCCCCGGGTTCGGATCCCATATAGGGATGGCTGGTTCGCTCACTGGCTGAGCGTGGTGCTGACAACACCAAGTCAAGGGTTAAGATCCCCTTACTGGTCATCTTT